AACTGGCGAAATTTTTTAAAGAAAAATTATTAAAAAAAAAAAAATTCGCGTCATCAAAGATTTTTAAGAACTCGCATTTTCAAGATATATCTTCTCGCACTCTTAAGATCCATTTTCAATGCTTCGCTTCCCGATTTAAATAATACATGATTAATCCTTGCAAGTCAATTGACGAAATTTTTTAAAGGAAAATTATTTTTAGAAAAAATTCGCGTTATCAAAGATTTTTAAGAACTCGCACTTTTAAGGTCTATTTTCAATGCTTCGCTTCCCGATTGATTTAAAAATTTAAATAATACATGATTAATTGATTTAAAAATTTAAATAATACATGATTAATTGATTTAAAAATTTAAATAATACATGATTAATCCTTGCAAGATGCAAGTCAATTGACGAAATTTATTAAAGGAAAATTATTTTTAGAAAAAATTCGCGTCATCAAAGATTTTTATAAACTCGCATTTTTAGGATATATCTTCTCGCACTCTTAAGACCTATTTTCAATATTTCGCTTCCCGGCTGATTTAAATAAACGAATATAATTATGTGAATCGTGAGACGATATTTATATTCCGTTTGAAATATGGTCTTAACATTCTATTCAGACAATGAAATGGCCGAATATTATTTTCATATCTTACTTAAGATGATTTTAAATATAAGAGACTGTGAATAATGAAATAAATGTTAAGATATTGTACGGAACCTGTATCGAACGAATATATTTCGCAGAGAGAATATTGAAAAAAGCTTGACACATAAATGCACTTTTTTCCCGCGAGCATTAGAATTTTCCTGGCCATGTATCGAATAAAACGACAAAATAGTGGTTCGACACGTTCGACATTTTACCGACCTTTCGTTGCACCTCCAATTAGTCACTCGAGGTGTCCTATGACTAAAATACAATTAGAGATTAACCGCCCGATTGTAACGTTATATGTTAACATCGACGCATATAAGCCGATTAAATGACAAAATCTCATATGTCAATTATAATCTAGCGCCCTTGATATACAACGTAATTTCAATGTATACGCGTGCATCACGTGCATCAAATGCAATTGCGACTCTCCCATGATATTCAGAGTGTTAACGTTTAGCTAATTGCCCTCCCAATTCGCAACTTAATCGTAGATACGTCATATTTAACGTGTAAAATTCGATACAAACTTTCAAGCTTTGCGAAGTGACGTATGAACCTTATACAAGATATTGTTATTCAATTTATTGCTTTCGATTCGCGCGGAGATCTTGTAGGAAAACGAAAAAAAGGAAAGGAACAAAAGAAAAGTAATCAGCGGAAAAAGCGAAACTTGCCAAGGAGGCGGTGGGGGGAGGGAGAGGGCGGAGGAGGGGGAGAAGCCGCGGAAAGGGAAGCCCTGATAATGTTGCATCGACCAAGGTCTATGTCATTGGAAACTGACGGGATCGATTTCCTCCTCGCCCTGTTTTTCCGCTTTATTCTTTTTTTTTGCGCGATGAATTTTCTCTCTTTCTCTCTCTCTCTTTCCGTCGAGAATAGTCGGGTATCGCGTTCCGAAGGACTCCTCGATACGGATGTCGGGCAAAAGTCATCGAGACGAGGGGCGCCTTTTGTCGACCCGGTGGAAATATGTCTCTCCGCGTTCGCGTTCAATTTTTAGAGAAATATCTACGCGCATGTGTGTACACTGAGGGAAAAATTTTTTTAAATCAAATAAATTTGTTTTCTTGAAACTTTTGCTTTAAATGCAAGGAATTGTTTATTTCATTTAATCAAAAGTATTTAATTTTAATTAAATATGCATGTTATATTAAATACATTATTTTCATTTATATATTTTTTATATTTAAATACTATTTTCGTAAAATATATACTATAATTTATTAAATTAAATATGTTATTCTTTAAAATTAAAAAATTAAAAATTTTTGGGAATAAAAAAATGCATTTTAATAAATATTTTGTAAAATTAAAATTAAAATATTTAATTAAAAATTATATTTTTTTAAGCATATATATTTTTTTAAACATATGTAAATAAATAACTTAAGCAAACAGACGTTTTGAATACAAGTAAAGTACGTGATTAGTACCCACCGAATAAATAGCTTTCTTGAGTAATTAAAATTTTTTTATTTCAAGATAATTTTTTCCTCAGTGTATATGTGTATGTGTGTGTGTGTGTGAGAATCACGTGGGCAAAACTCGATCAACTCGTCTAGTTTCACAACGGTGAAATGCAAAACATTTTCTGCGAGATTATATAAATTGCTCATATCGCGTTTTATTCAGTGCATCTCTCTCTGTAAATACTAAAGAAACTCTCTTTACGTGTAAAAGGGATGTCCTACGTTACTTGTAATTAAAAAGTAGATTATCACATTTTATTTACTGATATCGCATTGTTTGCGCATATTTAGAACTTGTCACAAGCTCGACGATCAAAAAAAAAAGGCTGAAAGAAATTTGCCACGATTTAAAACATCGGTAGAAAAGTTATAATAGAAAAAAAAGTGCCAGGCTTTTTACGGAATTGACAGAATTACATGAAACTTTTTTTCACCTACGAAAGAGATCTTATATGATTTTTTGCATGTTATTTTGTAATCATATTATTTATAATTATTTATTCTTTATTATATATTTATTATTTATGTGTTATTTATATTATTTGTAATTTAAATATTATTTGTAAAAATAGATTGTTAAATTTTCACTGATATCGTTTGTTGGTATACATTCAAAACTTATGACAAGCTCGACGACCGAAAAAAGGACGAAAGACTTGCCTGATTTAAACCATCTGATCCTGGAAAAGTTGTGATAGAAAAAATCTGTTAAACTTTAAAAACCCGACAGAATTACAAGAAACTTTTTTACTTACATAAAAATAAAAAAGAGATCCTATGTTATTTTTGCTATCGTTATATTATTCGTAATTTAAAAAAAAATAAATTACATATTCATTGGTGTCGCATTGAATGGGTTTGTAATCAGAATTTATGAGTATAAGTTCTACGTCAAAAAAGGGACGAGAGACTTGCCCATATGATTTGAATCATCGGTGAAACAGTCATAACAGAAACAAGTGTGATTAGTAGATTTTATGCGCAGATTAATATATAATAATGTAATATAATGTAATATAATGCAATATTGAACGAAACACATTTTTGAGTTCGGAAAGTGTGCGTGAAAATGATTCGTTTGAATCGTTTTGAATATTTCGTGGCGGGCACCTTGTTTTGACATCGCCATGACGACCCGATCTCAACGAACCAGAAGAGAAAGGGAAGAATGACGGAGTTGCCGACCTAACCTAACCTAACGTGACGTGACGTGATCGTGACAGCTCGTCGTCTCGTGCTCTCTCTTCACTGCCGCGCGACATCGCGTTTCCATGACAACGAAGGAAGCTTTCAAACGAAAAGAAGCGAATGCCGAAGAGAGAGAGAGAGAGAGAGAGAGAGAGAGAGAGAGAGAGAGAGAGAGAGAGAGAGAGAGAGAGAGAGAGAGAGAGAGAGAGAGAGAGAGAGAGAGAGAGAGAGAATCGTCGCCATTCGGCGCGAGAGAGAGAGAAAGAGATAGAGCATGTCATGCTTTTTTCCCCTTTTCCCCTTTTTTTGCACAGAGATCAACATGACGACTGACGATTCGGTTCCTGTCCCCTGTCGAATCGACTCAATCGTGATTCGCTTACGAAGCGCGACTCCTCGAGGAAAAGCATCGTCGAGGAAACGAGTAGTGCGTGCGAGCGAAAAAAAAGCACGATCAGTATGTGAAAAAAAAGAGGGTGGAAAAAGAACGGACGAATATTGTCAAGATGAAGAGGAGAAGCTGGCGAGGGCTGAATTTTGAAGCGTATATCGGGTGCCCTGAAAATGCTAGCTAGAAACACGTTTTTTAAAACGCATATCATTCTCGTATATATGATGAAAATTCTTTATACAATGCATATTTCTTTCAATTTCATCGACATCGTACGAGCATTTCAGGCTTAATTGGAGAATAAGAATACACAAATTTCAATAGCCAGGAATTATAAAAACGATTGTATTGTAATTTCAAGTAAAATCAAGGGAATCGAGAGCAAGAGTAGATTCTTCAAATCACAAATAATAAACATATAATCTTAATTTTTACACGCGATAAATTCCTTAAGAAGGTTCAATAACGGAACATGCTCGCGATTGATCTAACCTAACCTCTCCAAGGAAGCGTGAGCCAATTCCAGCGACGAATACACCGACGACGAGCGGAATACGTAAACAAATAATAAGCCGCGATTTCGAGAGCGCGACAAGGCGAGAGGGGAAAAAAAAAACAAAGCGAAGAAAGGTCGAGGGGAACTTCAAGGAAAGCGAGCCATGACGGATTTGTGACATAAATACGCGTTGGAATATTTTGATTTCTTTCTTTTCCTTTTTACGAAACGCCAGGGTCCTTACTCGTGTACCGGTCCACCGTTGCGCTCCCCCCTCTCTCTCCCCCTCGCCCCACGACCTGTCCGGTCGGCCCCGGGAATGGTTTCCATTGTTTCCGAACAAAATAGAAACGCGCCACCGAATGTTTTCGCGACCGCGAAAGAGGGAGTCGTTCCCAAAAAACCACGTACGTACGTCCTCGAGCGGAAAAATAATGTTAACGCGGAATGCGCAGTCGCGATATAATAACCAACGAGAGAAAGAGCAACAAAAATGACAAGAGCGTCCGAACCGAGGACGCCGAGGCCCGAAACACCTGGCCTCCTCCCCCCCCCCCATCTCACTGCTCCGCTTCACCGGTGGCTGACATGACAAAAAACGCGCCACCGGACGTTTCGGCGGAAAAGCACGTCCGTTTCCCGAACGAAGAAATATCCGCGCGAAAAAAAATACACACGGATATAACGGAAACGATTCGCGTTTTCGATCATCTCCGAGAGAGAGAGAGAGAGAGAGAGAGAGAGAGATAATTCGCCGAGAGAAAAAGAGACAAAAGGAGATATATAAAACTTGCTGAGACTGCTTACCCCACTGGGAAGGTTGCGTAGGAAAACATCCTCGCTCACATCCAGGATCCCGACGACGTCGCACCCGAGTCTCCCTCGCTCCTCTTCTCCTCCCACCCTCGCTGTCGTCTCGAGGAGAGGGCGATCGGCGCGCACGCACGCACGCACACACACGCACAAGTTCAAGGTCGCGGTGGGATAAAGCAAAACGATCGAGAGTCGGCGCGCTGTCACGTACGGAGAGCGAGCACCCGGATCACGATCCGATCACGACCAGTCTCAACTCACGAGACTCTCGCCGACAGGAGATACACGCGCGCGCGCGCGCGCACACTCGCCAAACAAAGGATTTCGGCGAGGACGCCGCACCACGCCGGCCAACGGCGTCGTCGGCGAACTTTTTAGGTTAGCGACCGAGCCGGCCAGCAGACACCAGGGAAACGACGGCGACGACGACAGCGTCGCGATGCGCGGTCTCGCGTCTCTTCACGACGGGCTTCGCGCACTCCGTAAAGCGCGGCGGTTGTAGCGGCAGCTGCAGCGCTCTCCAGACGTCCGTGCGGCGCGATGGTGGGGCGGCGACTGAGGGGAGCGGCGGGAACAGCGGGGATCAGCCGGCCGCGAAGGGATGGCGTGGTGGGGATGGAGTCGGAGGCTGGGAGGGGAGACCGGCGCGCCCTTTCGCGGCGGCCGGGCGTACTACGCCGCGTCGCGTCGCGGCGAGTGCCACGTGTGCGTGTGTCTGTGTGTGTATGCGCGTGCGTAGGTAGATGTGTGCGTACTTCATATGTGTGTGCGCATGCATACGGAATAGAATGTATGCCGATACCTATAGAGCACCGGTCTCGCCGCTCTTCTGCCCTTCGCTCTGTTAAAAGACTTGGCGTGCCGAGTGCGCGCGCGAACACCCAAGGAGCCCTCGCAGTGGTGCTCATCGGTCAATGTCAGCCGAGTTTCGTGTTTAAAGGATGTTGAAAATACCGAGGAAAATGATGGAGAGGATCCGCGGGATTCTGAGGACAAGAGCACAACTTTTTCGGGTCTCCCTGATTTTCGCCAGATTTTTTTATCATTCATGGAGGGAAATGTGTAATCTGCTGAAATGTATGATTTTTTTTAATGTTACTTTGGGGATTTGATAAACCGAGCGTATATCGATCGTATTTCGCGTCATCAATTTTATTCCTCTCTTTATAATGCGCGCTTTTATAAGAACGTAAAATATTGCGCAAAAGCGTAACGCAAATATATATCTCATATTTACTAATTAATAGCAGGCTTCAATTAACCGGCCCGCGACCACACCTGCCTTCTTTCCCCCCTCCCCCTTTCCGTTCGATTACATTCTAGAAAATTGATAGTGGATAAAATCTCCAATACCGCGCCTAAAGTATAATCAATTTTACAATATCGAATGTTTAATTAGGACAAGCAAAAATCTATAAGATATTTCAAAATAATATCGAAATTTCTCAATTAAAAAAAAATACTACCACTAATTATGCTTAACCAACGATACGATACAATTTCCATTTAATTCAGCAGTTTTAAGAATCTAAGAGTTGGATAATTTATATAACATTTTATAATTATATAAATATTATATAACATTTATATAATTTATATATACAATATTTATTTTTATATTCGTCATATTTATTATTGTCCATTACATAGTTCACGCTTGCAGCCGGCGACAGTTTCCACGAGAAACGACTCGAGAAAATTGCCGCCTCGGTATTGTTGCAAATCCGGATATGCGTGCGGACACAAAGGGACGTGGGCTCGACGAGTAAGAAACCAGTATGGGAGCCATGAGGCGAAAGGATATTGCCTGACACCATTCGTTATGCAACTACAAATTTACTACACACTGCACGATACGTTATAAGTATACGACAAATGCCGGAAATGTTATTCGCGTGAGAATTATTCGATTACGTTCAAATCAAGAGAGATATCGAAAAAGTATTTATTTAATTAAACGTGACATTTCTCGGTGTGCGAATCTCTTTTTTTTCTCTTTAAATGGACAATTACAGTTGCATAAGATTGCACAAGTCTATTTATTCGCCTGAATTTCAAAGTCAGATAAAGATTTTTAATTAATTATCAAGACAAGATGAAGATTGTCAAGATTATTGATCTTGTCAAGCTTATTGGTTTTATTTGAGAGAAGCTAAAATATATATATATATATATATATATTTGTAAAATAGATGAGGAAGAAAAATTACTTATTTTATAAAATTCTATTTAATAAAAAAAATATTTATTAAAATTTTTATTAATAAATTTAGAAAAAAATGAATATATAATAAACAAAATAAATATTTAAAAAAATATGTATATAATATATTAAAATTTTACTTATTTAACTTATTTAATTTTTACTTATTTTTTTTAATTATTTAGCTATATAAAATTTTACGTATAAAAAATGACATAAATAGTAATAATTATTTTGAATTATATGATAAAACGTGTGTTGAGTATTATTTTAATAAATATTAATATATTATATTTTAGAAATTATACAAATGTTTGAAAGTAATAATTTTGGCTCAAATTATATATAAAAATTATGTTAAATAAATATAAAAATAAATAAATATAATATATAATTAATTTTAAATAATATACAATTAATATTAAATAATTGTCCAATATTAAATAAAAATGATTCACTCAAGACTAAGACGAGATTTAAATCTTCAATATCAGTGCAATATTTTTATGAATATTCTAGCCTTAAATCTCCTGTAAATGATGTAATCATTCTACATCAACTGATTTGAATTAACATTTCACAAAGTGTGTGTCGATTCGTCCAGTATTTGTGATTCTATCTTCGCAATCTTTGGCTAATTCCTTTCGATAAGGACTCTCTACCCCCTTTCGAATCCATTTCGAACAAGTTTCGAAAAACTTGCGCGATTTCACCGCACGTTTCTCAAGAGATAAGAACGAGAGAGATATCCTCGCGATCCTCGGCGAGTCGTACGTTTACGAATATGTCACTTTGCTCGCTAGAACGATTTTGCATAATCGAGACTGTAAGAAGCGGAGCGAGGGATGAGAGGAGGGTGGATGATAGCGCGCGCGGATACGAACGTGTTTGGGATGCGGAACAACAATGGCTTTATGCGAGCACAGCTTGCCGTTGTAGACAGGCGGTTATATCGGTTTGACTGCCCGTTTTTCCGCAAAGCACACCCACGTAATCGCTTTCGCGCCTTCCCGCTCTCTCTGTCTCTCTCTCTCTTTCTCTCTCTCTCTCCTTTTCTCTCGCCGCCATCTCTCCCCCTCGCGGGCAAACTCGCGTGGCACGAGAATGTAACGTACGAAATGTGTATCGCGTTATATACAGGAGCAGGTCAGGATTCAGCCCGCGTTGGCTCGTGTCCAAATCGCCGAGCCGATCAGATTCCGGACGCGAATGTAGACTAAGAAACCGGGGGGCAAGGGTGCGGGCAGGGGGCAAATGAACCGCCCTCGAGTGTGCATAACCGGGGCAAAAAAACGCTTGCTCCTTCGTGGACGGTTCGCGAATGTATCTGTACGTTCTCGTGCATAAATTGAAGAGATATAACGAGAATAATTATATATAAAGTGACACTTTTGTTTCCGGAGAGCGCTAATGAAGTATAATTTGTTACGTCTCATTCTTCTTTTTTTTCACCCGCTAAATAGAAAGCGATAATTACGATTGTTTGGACGTGACGATTATGTAACTATGGCTATATATTTCTCCGAGGAGAGAAATACCGTTTTTGCGGAGCAACATTTTGCAAATGTTATTATGAAACGCGATCGAGTTAGGTTTTAGTAGCGATACCACAGGCCTGCGAGGTTTTTGTTTTTTAAGATGCAATAGTGATTTCCGACGTAATTTTGTGCGCTGAATCCGAATCTGGCCGCCAAATTTGCGTAGCACGTCACGTTTTTGAGTAATTTGTAATTGAATGGCTTAAAAATCGCTATTTTGGCCAATTTCATGAATTTATTGTGGAAAAACCAAATTTTTTGAAATATTTCTGCCAATGGCATCGTATAATACTCACTTTCGCCTTTCAAATTCACTTTCGATTACCGCCGCACGATTTTTTTTCGCTGAGATATATAAGTATGAAGTTGTAAGAAAATTTACGTTAAAGAAAATTTATATAGACATCATTATGGTAGATCCATGATCTTGAAATTTGAAAAGACTGACATATGTCAGGTTCGGTTGGCCAAAAAAGTATTGTAAAGAAATGTCTAATAGTTGTTACACATTTTGATAAATTTTTCTAAATTTTATGCCTTTTTATTGTGCCTTTTTATAGTGTGTCTATTCACCATATTGGACGCGCCATTTTTAATTTCAAAAGGTGACAGAAGGTATTTAAAAATATATATTTTTACCCTAATTTTGACTCGTAGTGAGATAGAGAAGTGGCACGGTTGATTTAAAATGGCTTATTGGATCTTTATGCATGACCAGTCTTATAACTTGTATATCTGAGCGAAAAAAAATCGTGCGGCGGGGTAATCGAAACGGGATTCGAAAGATGAAAGTGACTACTATGCCATTGACAAAAATATTTCAAAAAATTTGGTTTACTCACAATAAATTCATGAAATTGGCCAAAATAGCGATTTTTAGACTATTCAACTACAAATAACTCAAAAACTTGATGTGCAAATTTGGCGGCCAGATTCGGATTCAGCGCACAAAATCACTATTGCATTTTAAAAAACAATTTTAACCCCCATTTTTGCAGGTGTACTTAGTAGCGATATTTAGTAGCGATTTGTAACAGCTCTGCGCAAAAATATATCAGAAATGTTTATAAAATCAAATCAAATTAAGAGAAAGAGAGAGAGAGAAAGAGAGAGAAAGAGAGAGAAGGATATGTCGCTCGTATTAAGATTGACATTCAGACTTTCCGCAATTTTCAACATCTCCGGCGCAAGGGATCGCGGAAGATTTCGCCCCCTCGGAGGGGGAGTGCGCCGCGAAGGGATTTCGCGGATCGTATCATGAAACTACAACGCTAACTCGCGAATACACGCAAATGGCAAACGATTTCCGCGCGAATCGTTCAAGACAAAGAACCGGAAATGCTGCTCTCCGGCAGCCCTTCTCGCAGCCCCCAACGTAACACGACGCCAGTCGTGAGATGAGGCAGACACCTGGGATTTACCTCCGTGGCACTCGTAGCGCTTCCACGGTTCGTTCGAAAGGGGGGAGATGTGGGGAGGAGGGGGGGGGAAGAGGAGAGATGGAAGGGGAGAGAAAGGTTCGAAACGCAACGTGGAGAGGGTCCGCTTCCGTAAAGGGAGCAGGGCACTCCGCTCTCTCTTCCCGTGTTGCGAGTCCCGAGCTCTCTGAGCTCCGCTTCAGACTCGAGACAACGGGAATCGCGCAATTTTATTACGTAAATTCAATTTGCATAGTGCGACCGGCGGTACGGGATATGCCCCCGTCCTCCGAGAAGCGAGATCCCCGATGAATATTGTCGCTGTATAACCACCGTTTCTTTCCTCTGGGAGATAACAACGTGCGTCGAACTAACGAACTATATTTAAATTGATTTTATCTAAACGAGAAGTACGAGAATGAGAGAGAGAGAGAGAGAGAGAGAGAGAGAGAGAAAGAGAAAGAGAGTCTCATTATACAGTCATTGAATTGTCAGCCATAAAACGTTCAAAGAGAAGAACGTGGTTTTAAAATCCTCATGCAATGTACATATTTTCGCAAAATATATATCGTCTGTTTCCGAATCAAAATTTTCAAGTATTTATTTTAATCACACACCCACACATATCGTCCTGGTACATATGATAGAAATATACAGTAAAATTATTGCATTATTTATAGCAGGGAAGTTGTTACTTTAAAAAATGAACAGAAATATAAATATTACTAATTTAAATATAAATATTATTAATTTGTATTTTATTACTGTGTTATTTTATGCTTTAATAATCTGCTATAATTTTATGTTTCAATCACAAAAGTTATAACAAATAATAACAGAAATATTAAATTTTTGATTCTTCAAAATACCTCTCTCTTAATCTATTAGAACTATTGCGAGATGAATTTAATAAGTGTCTGAAAAATGGAAATTTTCCTATTTTAACAATTTTAAAAAACAACTGTTATTAAGAATGCCAAGAATGTCTGGCAATATTGAAAGCAAAGGGAAAGTGTCTTGAAGAATCAAAAATTTATTATTTTTATTATTATCTGTTATAATTTTAAATAAAAAATATAAATATTTTTTATTAATTTATATTTTATTACGATGTTATTTTATGCTTTAATAATATAATTTTATGCTTTAACCGTAAAAATTATAATAAATAATA